TTTACGAATAAGTTCGTACCACACACTTGGTATTTCGAGTCAAATTGTCGTTATGAACCGCATGTTACAATTTCAAATAAACCATATGCGAAAATGTCAAAAGTTGACATATGATATGTCATTCTATTCAGAGTGTCATTTTCTATCTAATAAAATATATACATATAAATAAACAAAGGATGTTATCGTGGGGACTGTAATAAAAAGAAGAAAGAATTTATTGGGCAAGTCTACAGTAAGATTAGTCATGAGACATGACTAAAACATGACTACCCGTAGACACTCAGTGTTTCTGCGTTCCGGCTTCGTCAATACGGGAGGAATCAGCAACGATGAACTAGCGTTCCTGAAAAAAAGAAAGGAAGCTAACGAGGCAAAGGCGCCATTTGCAGCCTGGTTAGGCAGTAGCTTACAATTTGAAGCGTTACCACCGCAAATGGCGCCTTGTGCCTCGTTTGCTTCCCTTCTTTTTTTCAGGATCGCTACTTCATCGTTGCTGATTCCTCCCGTATTGACGAAGCCGGAAGGCAGAAACACTGAGTGTCTACGGGTAGTCATGTTTTAGTCATGTCTCATGACTAATCTTACTGTAGACTTGCCCAATAAATTATTTCTTCTACATATTGTCAAGGTCAAGGTGTATTACTGGTTGCATAACTGTATTACTGCTACATAACCGCAACGTGCATTGAGGAACCTGGCGTATTCGCCAGAAAGTAAAAGAAATTCTACAGAATACTAGAATAGAATTTTCCGGAAGATCCACAGCTATATAAAAGGGCGCGCTATCGGCTGTGGGGACAGTTGAAGTCTGAAGTTTGATAATACCGCGATTTAAATTGTGAAATACCGTTAGAGTAATAGTAGTTGCATAATTTGTGTTGTAAATAGTATAAGTTGTGTGTACAGAGTGAGACAAATAAATTCGTTAAGTATTTTATCATGAGTTTAAGTAGTGGACCCACGGAATCTGTAACAATTGGTGTCGGAAGTGCGATTCAAGAGGATTTTAAGAAGAAATTAAGTGGATTGGAAGATTTTTAGTCCGAATCAGAGTATTTTTATGGTTCAAGGTATTTTTATGGTTCATTTTTATGGTACAAGGGAGCAATCGAAGAAAATGGAAGAAGTAAGCAAATTATTGGGCGATTTTATGGAGAATATGAGAAGAGAGAAGGCAGAAGAACAAGAAAGACTACAAGAAAGACTACGTAAAGAACGCCAAGAAGAACAAGAGAGGCTGCGAAAAGAAAAAGAAGAAGATCAAGAAAGACTCCGTAAAGAACGAGAAGAAGAGTGAGCCCGACTAGATAAAGAGAAAGCAGAAGAGCAAGACCGCTTACTGAAAATTCTAGAAAATCAAGACAAAATTTTCGAAGATTTGAAAATCCAACGACAACAAGACAAACAAGAAGAACAAGACCGGCTTGAGAAAATTTTCGAAGATTTGAAAGTTCAACGACAGCAAGACAAACAAGAAGAACAGGACCGGCTTCAGAAAACCTTAGAAAATCAGGAAATTCGACTTCAGAAAAGCTTCGGGGACATGGAAAAAAAGCAACAAGCAATGTTGGAAATGCGTTGCCAGGAACAGCAGAACCACTTCCAAGAAGCCGTAGAAGATCTGGAGGAACGCCTTCAGCGGAAAATGGAAAAATTAGAGACGGACCTACAGAAGACCAAGGTACAAGTAAGGACACCTGTCGTTCCGGGAACTGCGAACCTTAAGGCCCCGACCTACGATGGACAAACGACATGGACAATGTACCACCGTCAGTTTGAAGCAGCGGCTGCTGCCAATGGATGAACTGATCAAGAGAAAGCAGCGGCACTTGTCATCGCGTTGCGTGGCCCTGCCCTGGAACTGCTGCAAACTATTCCTGCAGCCCAACAGCAGGAGTACGAAACCTTGGTTGCTGCATTGGACCGAAGATATGGCGACCAACATCGACGTCAACTTTACCAGGCCCAGATCAAGACATGCATGCAGAGGTCCGCAGGAATTTGAGAGTCTGCAGGAATTTGAAGCAGACTTACGTCGGCTGGTACGCCTAGCATATCCAGAAGCACGGAAGGGTTTAGGGAGGAACTCGCTGCCCAGTGTTTTATCAGCGGACTGAGGGACAACGAATTACAGAGGGCGTTGCAAATATCCCGTTTTTCTACCAGCAGCGAAGTACTCGTCAGGGCGCTGGAAATTGAAGCTGCTTTTAGCGCCATCCCTAGACCGAAGATAAGATCGGTAACGGTCGAGGAACAACCCGAAAGTACTCATAGAGGTATGGAGGAGGTGTATCAGAAATTCGATAAACTATGTGAGTTACTAATGAACAAGGTAGCCAGCAACACCCGAAGATTCCAGGATATTAGGTGCTATGGATGTGGCAGGAATGGCCACATCAAACGGGATTGTCACATCCAAATGCGATTCCATTCACCATCCAGAGAAAATAGGCACATCGGAAGATCCCAGGACATAAGTTGCTATAGATGTGGCAGGAATGGCCACATCCAACGGGATTGTCGCATCCAAATACGATTCCATTCACCATCCAGAGAAAATAGGCACATCGGAAGATCCCAGGACATAAGTTGCTATAGATGTGGCAGGAATGGCCACATCAAACGGGATTTCCGCGTCCAAATGCGATCCAGAGAACATAGGCACCAGGAAATCAATACTAATGAGTGAGTATTGGCTGAAGAAAACAGAGCCTCTTGGATGTTTTTCATTAGGAGTCTAGAAAAAACCGCTGACAGTTTGGTGATCAACGGGAAGGTCAATGGTAGAAGAATTCGAATGACTGTGGACACAGGCGCTATGGTATCGTTGATGCGGACTAACTCAGTGCAAGGATTAAAAATGATGCCTCTTAGAAGAAGAGTGTATTTACGTACAGTTACGGGGGAAATGGCCGTTGTACGGGGAGAGGCTTTCATGGAACTGGAGTTAGGGAATTTGAAGTTTCGGCATAGCGTTTTAGTGGCAGGCATTGAAGATGATTTTATCATGGGTATGGATGTGATCAGTCAACATGGTTTTTCGTTCGATCACCATAGAAACATCCTGAAAATCGGAAATGAGGAATTTGCTCTATCTAAAGAGAAAAGACCAGGAAATATGCAAGCAAGATCAGCGGAAATTGTGATGATACCTGGTGATGCCAAGAAGACTGTGTTCGGGAAAATGGAGAAAACCTCTGGATGCCGTGTAGGACGGGTACAAATTATCGACAACGAGCCAGATCGACGACGAGCTACCTTGGACAAGAAAATGAAACATCGCGAAAGCACTATCAGAGTAAGTAATTTTAAACTATGAACTGACGCACAATGGACGACGACACAATTAAGGAAAGATCAAATGGAAGATCCAGACATCGGAGCAATACTACGGCTCAAGGAAGGTAACGGCGAGAGACCACCGTGCCAGGATATTGCGGACAGAGGGCTGGTTTTCAAAGCTCTCTGGGCTCAGTGGAATTCACTGGTGATTGAGAATGGATTGTTAAAGCGCACGTGGGAAAGTGCGGATGGCAGGACAATAACAACTCAGTTACTGGTACCAAGGAAGAAAGTTACCCAGGTATTGGAAGAAATTCACGGTGGTAAAACTGGAGCCCATCTTGGAGTAAACAATACCTTGAGCAAGCTGAGAGACCGTTTTTACTGGGTGGATTATTGCGAGGATGTTAAGAAATGGTGTCAACGTTGTAAGATTTGCGCAGCTAGACAAGGACCAAGTACTCGATCTGGAGGAAAAATGGAACAAGATAACGTTGGACTGTCGTTCGAAAGAATCGTTAGGAAGGAAAGATTACTGGACGTTCATAGGGCCGTTAGAAGTAAGATTGCGCTAGCCAGTGACCGGATGAAAGCTCGTTACGACCTCAGAGCTAATTCTACGGGATTTCAACAGGATGATATGTGATATGTGACCCACAGCGCAAGAAAGGAAGGTCTCCAACGTTAACTACAGCATGGGAAGGTCCTTATACCGTCATCAAGAGGGTAAATGATGTTGTGTACCGGATTCAACGTAGCCCTAGAAGCAAGATGAAAATAGTACATCTGGATCGATTGAAGAGATACCGGACAGGAAACCTTGATCGGGACGATCAAATTTGAGAAGGGGGCAATGTCAAGGTCAAGGTGTATTACTGGTTGCATAACTGTATTACTGCTACATAACCGCAACGTGCATTGAGGAACCTGGCGCATTCGCCAGAAAGTAAAAGAAATTCTACAGAATACTAGAATAGAATTTTCCGGAAGATCCACAGCTATATAAAAGGGCGCGCTATCGGCTGTGGGGACAGTTGAAGTCTGAAGTTTGATAATACTGCGCTTTAAATTGTGAAATACCTTTAGAGTAATAGTAGTTGCATAAATTGTGTTGTAAATAGTATAAGTTGTGTGTACAGAGTCAGACAAATAAATTCGTTAAATATTTTATCGTGAGTTTAAATAGTGGACCCACGAAATAATAACAATATAAATATATATATATATATAGAAATATACCGAGGGTGCCATTTAAAAATCAAAAGTTGTAGTCATTTCCGGTGGAACAGGAAGTGATCGAAAACAATTGAATACGTCAATCAATCCTAATTTATGTCATCTACTAACATACCAAATTTCGTTTTTTTTATCTGAAGAAATAAAAAAGTTATAGCAGTGAGCCACTTTTGAGACGCACCCGGTATATAGGGTATCCCATATAAAAATCGATTTTCCAAATAATAAATATTAGTAAAATTAAACTATTGATTTACAAAAATATTAAACCATTAACCAATAAAATATTACCCATCTAAGTAAAAATGTGCTGTGGGAATGTTTTCATAGAAACACAAAAACACACTCTGAAACGGTATTGACAATTGACACTGACATCAGTTTTTGTCTATCTCCTTTAAAAAGGAGGTTTTCTTTAGAAGTGTCGAATTTGGCGAACTCTGTACAATGTTTTTCAAACTGTATTGTTTCATCTTTAGGGAAATGGTCAAATCTACCTCTGCGTACGTTGGAAAGAGAGTTTTTAGAAAAGGGTGTTGCGCAGGAGGACAGCATAAAGGTTTTGGATAAGGCTTCTGTCCCCATTGTCAAACTCGTAGATAAAAAGACTGATATAAAGGTGAGTAATAAACATTTTTCACTTGATTGTCTCTAGATTATAAAACTAATTTTTTTCTACAGGTGGACATATCTTTTAATATGTCTAATGGTGTGAAAAGCGCCGAACTTATAAAGACCTACGTCGAACAATTCCCGGTACTTCCCAAATTGGTTTATGTACTGAAGCAGTTTCTACTCGAAAGAGAACTTAACGAAGTTTTCACCGGAGGCATCAGCAGTTATAGTCTCATACTGATGTGCATCAGTTTTCTCCAAGTAAGACATTAGACAAGTAAAATTAGGGTTCAAATCTATTTCTTTTTCTACGTAGCTACATCCCAGACACGACGGCGTACGACAAACCAACGCTAATTTGGGAGTTTTACTCATTGAATTCTTTGAACTGTATGGTAGAAAGTTCAATTTCATCAATACTGGAATTAGAATACGAGATGGAGGGAAATATATTAACAAAGTATGTAGACAATGCATAAAAATACTTTCTTATTTTTTTAAATATGTTTTCTCTTGGTTTTATGTCAGTAATAATTTTCCTTTTATTTCATTAAGTACATTTATTTTTTTATACACCCTCTTACGTTTCGACCATTTTTTTGGCCTTCATCAGAGTCTACAATTTTTACATTAAACGAATTTTTAAAAAATCATTAAATATACAATAAAAATATTTTTGTTTTACTTACCCAAGAACGTAGATCATAGAAAGAAACTTTATAAAAAACAATCACGGAACACATTTAATAAACAGGACGGTTTGGTTTGGTTGCGAATTTTCAAACATATTTTTTAATTTTACTATAGGGCCAACGACCTACATACAATAACTAATATTATAATATAGAAACATATAGTTTGCTCAGCCTATTTACATCTTTTTTGTCGTTTATTGATTTTGCGTTTTTTTGTATTTCTACCATTTCGAGAAATTCCCTCTTTTTTGTCATAGATTCAGTTCTCAAAATCTTAGTCTGGCTGTAATTAAATGTATGTTCTTTACTATTTTCATGATTTGTCAGTGCAGTCTGGTTTTTTTTATCATATTTGTGGCCCTTAATTCGATTTTCCAGATATTGACTAGTTTGGCCGATGTATACTGCATCACAATCATTGCATGGTATTTGATATACGATATTACCACAAACTAACTTAAACAGATGCGACACCTTATGGGAAATTTTGTGTTCAAAAAGACCTATGTTCGGAAGTGCGACGACAGAGCGGCGATACCGTCGATGAAGGCAAAATATTCGGCCAAACAAACAGCCGTGGTGACTTCAAATCATAGACTTAAAAATAAAATATAGACTACACTATTTACATCTCAACGCGGACAAACAACCTTTTTTGTACACATGTTTACTTCTGGGTACAGTCGACCGAGCCTTCCTCATCCAGCCTATGTTGTCACGTCTTTAATATTATCAATATTTTTTTTCTTGTTATACACATATATTGAGATATTAATACTACAGTTTAATAAAGTAGGTTTTAATATTCCGTAGATGTATTAAATAGTCCTTATACTACTAAATTATAAGTCGGATACTGTTTAATAAGGATAAGTTCTTTACAATATGACAACACCGATTAGAGGCGAGGGAGCCTATTCATTCATTTATTACCTTGTAGTACGTGTCGCACGTGTGCGGTAAAGCTTTGTTGCCGCTATCTCCCCGGCTGTATTAACGCATTTTCTTAGCTTGTAGTCCTTAAGTGTTTATTTTATTGACTTTTTTCTGTTCAAAAACTATAAAATATGGTTCGCCAGTGCCAAATTTAAAGAAATTTGACTTAAATAATCCATTTAAGTCTTGAAACGACTTTTGACCGGTAGGCAACTCTCAATTTACCCATTGGCAGTCAGTGGCGTTGTTGTAGAAAGGCACTTATTTAGATAATATTTTAGTAAAATGTAAAATCTGAATTTTTTCTTTTTACATTACATTATTTACTTACTTACATTGTAACAAAATCATAATTATAACCCTGTTAATAATTAATAATGTTTTTATTAAAATATATTCCGGTTTATTCTAAAATTATCTTCAGAATCTAAAATAACGTACAAGAATTTTAAAATGATATTACATTATGAAATATTTTTTAATACCGTCAGTCTCAAAAGTGGCTCAACCCTATAACTTTTTTATTTTTCAGATAAAAACAGATTTGTATGTTAGTAGGTATATGACATAAATTAGATTTATTGACGTATTCAATTGTTTCTGGTCTCTTCCTGTTTCACCGAAATGATTACATCTTTTGATTTTTAAAGGCACCCTCGGTATATTGCTACTTTATTCGATAAAAAATGACACTCTGAATAGAATGACATATCATATGTCAACTTTTGACATTGTCGCTTAAAAACATATCCTATTTTAAATTTCAATCCAGTTTTTTCAATCCACCAAGTTTTAATCAAAGGAGCCTTTGAAAAATAGTTTTGATCGTCTAATAGGTTTCGTGTCTTGTCTAGGCCGGTTAAAAGATGTACAAATCATATTTTTAATCATACATATATCAATTTTTTCAAATGGAACAAGGGTGACTCATTAGCATATTTGGAAAAAGCATTTTTTTATGAATATATTGATACCACACACTTGGTATTTCGAGTCAAATTGTCGTTATGAACCGCGTGTTACAATTACAATTAAACCATATGCGAAAATGTCAAAAGTTGACATATGATATGTCATTCTATTCATTTTCTATCGAATAAAGTAGAAATATACCGAGGGTGCCGTTTAAAAATTGAAAGTTATAGTCATTTCCGGTGAAACAGGAAGTGACCAAAAACAATTGAATGCGTCAATCAATCCTAATTTATGCCATATACTAACATACTAAATCTTATTTTTTTATTTGAAAATATAAAAAAATTATGGGGATGAGCCACTTTTGAGACGCACCCGGTATAATAAAGACAGTACCGAGTTAAATAAATGTAGTTTTTATTTTATCCACTTTACCTTACCATCCTATCACCTTCCTTGCTTTAATGGAACAGATTTATGTTTTCTCTAATTTACATAATAAGACATCACTTAACCAGAAAAAAAATTACAACAATCATATTTTTTTTTCTCTCCCTGTCGCCGTTTCTATTATATCTGTGGAATAGATCCTGTTTTGATTAATATTAGGGGTTGTATAAAAAAAAAATGTTTGACTAAAATTAATAATTTATTATTAATTTCAAAAATTACCTAATTTCGATTATAAAATTTCTTCTATAACGTGTATTTTATTATTTTTATCCTGTTTGGACTCTAAGACGTTTTTTCTAAACTTTTATTTAAAAAACCTGTCCTAAATCTTAATAAAATATAAAAAAGTTTAAATACGATATATTTTTAATTTAATTATAGCTTCATTAAAATAAAAAAATTACCCGGCTATGATACGGAGAGTTCAGGTGTACTTGAGAAACGAAAGACAGTGTTGTGTTTCTCGGCAGAGTCGTCAGGGAACGACCGTTACGACAGAGACAACCTATCTATCGCTCGTGTCGCACTCGTTATAACCTAAAACAATAACACAACAATAACAAGACAGTGTCTGACCGCATGTTCCAGCTATTTATGAATGAGATGCTCAGTCTATATTTTATTTTAAGTCTATGCTTCAAATGCGTTCCCGCACATCCCCTTCTCTAAGCTTCCATTTCTTTCGCTCTTTCTCGCATTTAACCTTGCCTTTGATACACCGCGCCGCCTCGTCTGGCCGTCGCAGCCGACGTACGATTATAAAGTCAAAGCGAGATTGCCAGCTTGAATTTTTTTTATGTGAGAATTAAATATTATATGTACTTGTATTAGCGCTTTCTCCTGGATAATAATAAATAACTATAATTACATGATGTTAGGAAATATTAGCTAATATTTATTTGTAAAGTATGAGAAATTTACAAACTTTAACAATGGGTTAAGATCAATACATATGTATAAAGAAAATTACGATATCTTTAAAATTAAAAATGATATAAAATATCAGAAATATAAAATTCTTAAAGAATAGGATCTTTGTTGTCAGCTTGCCGTTTGTATTTAGCTGTACTGCCAGCTGTTAATTTCAAATATTAATCTAAAGTCTGTCTAGTATTAGACAGCTTAAATTATCTTTAATTATTTTTATATCCTGCTTGTTAATAGTTTTATGCACTACTATCATTTTATTTGATATTTTAAATTGATTTAAAATTTAGCAGCTGATCTTTTATATAGCAAATAGGTACTTTTATGATACAGACACGGCATATTGTTTGCATGTGCCGTGATACCGATATAGTTTATACAAATTGGTAAGTAGAATTGGCAACAGTGTCCTAGAAAAAGAATATGGGAATCTAAGATGGGAATATTGAAGGCTTTCAGAGGATTTTTAAATCAGTTTCTTCAGTTGTTTCACATGGATATTACATACATCATTATTATTAGCTGTTTCGATTTTAATTTTCTGTTGGGTTTTGTTGGTTTACATTTAGTTAGTTCACGGTGTTCTTAGTATTGTTTTAGTTAATTCAGCTATTCAGTTTAAGTTTCTTGTTTTGATTTTATTTAAAATGCTTTTAAAAAAATACAAGAAGATACATTTTTTAGATTTTCTAGGACTAAATTATATCAAAAACTGTGGGTGTTTTTTTCCGAAAATACCTAGATTTTCTAATACGAAAAAAGCGAATAGACATACAGTTCGATCAAATAATCGACTTATTAACTACATAAACTTTGTAAAAATATTATACTTCTATGCCAGGTAGTAATAAATTTTCATACCAACTTTCACCCCTATATCATCCCCGAGATGAGGAATTTTCAAAAATTTCCATTAACATACAAACTGGATAAAATGTTCTCACATTTATGTCCTGAGCCTGAGAAAAAACAATATGGCGATATTATTATATAACTTGGTAATATTTGACGGGTAGTTTCATCTCGTTGGAATTTGACTTTCGAAAAATCTGTTTGTCAAAAATAATTTTTTTTACGTCAAGCAGTTAAGCAGAATCGTAGTTAATCAATTACCCAACTTTTTGGAACACCCAGTATGATTTTTTAAAAAAATTCAAAATATGTAAAAAAACAAAATAAATTATGCGTGTCCAAGCGTTTTCCCGAAAGACTAACCGTTTTTTAAATAACAAATATTGTAATATTTGAGGGGCATTTTCACCCTCTTGGAATCGAGAAACCCCTCCTTATGGAATCTCTACACCCCACAGTCAATCCGTTTGCCAAAAATCATCAGCTTTAAACGTCAAGCAGTTTAAGCAGAATCGTGATTACTCAATGGTCATATTTTATGAAACACCCTGTATAATTTTTTAAAAAATCTTAAAATATGTAAAACAACAAAATAAAATATACGTTTTTAAGAGCTTTTCCGAAAAACTCATCGGTTTTTAAATAAAAATATTCTAATATTTGAGGGGTGGTTTCACCCCTT